ATATTTTTTAAGTAAAGTTTTTCTTTCTGAATAAATTTCGTCTTAAGGAGAAAAGATGATAAGAAAAACAAGCAGATAACATTTTTTTAAAGGTCTGAGGAAAGAAGTCAAGTAGAAAAATCTCATTGTTGTGAGTTAGTCATATTTTCATATTAACAGAAAAAGATTTGATTCGCTGCTTTGTTTGGATGAATGATTGGAATAAGAACGAAAGAGGGCGTTGTCGAACGTTTATTTTAATTTGACACTTGGTGCATAGATAGGAAGAAAAAACTATTGGCGTATCCTTTTGAGTCAATGGAAATAGGAAAATGAGATGGTTTTGTTATATTTAGTTTTTTTTCTTATTTGAATGAATTTTGCTACTAGTAAATGAAACAAAGTATTTATCACGATAGTACTAGAAGAAATTAGCTTTTTCAAACTTATATCTTCTCTTTTCTAGCACTATTTATTTCACTAATTAAGCTTTAATGAAGCATTTTATTCACGGAGAAGTGGGCAGATCGAAACAATCAGATGTCCATTGGATGGCGCTCATTGAGTTCTACTTGGAGAGTTCTTTGGGGCGAACCGTGACCTAAGATATCCTACGTATTCGAAGACGCTTTTCAACAAGTTTTAAGAATGGTTGATAAACACATAACCGGTTTTGATCCATATTCAGGAACAATTACAGATGATGTAAAATTAATTAAAGATTATCTCGAATTTTTCTTGTATTTTATTCTAGGAAATAAATACTCGAACCGATGAACGTGTTTTTATATTAGCAACAGCTCTTCGACATGGTTATACAATTGAAAGTTCGTTTCAATTAACAAAAATCGATCGAGGGTTTCTTTATAAATTTACATCAATTATTCAATTTATTGTTAATCATTTGGATTCATTCATTATTCAAGATCAATCACTTTTACTTGAAGCAAAACGTTTAGGTCCTTCTGATAAACAATTTGGTATTCGACCATTTGTTAAAAAAATTAATACAGTTTTTGGTGAATGGTCGGCACAAACAGATTAATTTTTATTTAACTTATCATGGTAATGATGATGATATACAATCATATACCCAAAAGTGGACAGAATATTCCCAATTTAGGAGTGAATAAATTTTTTTTCTATATATTTCGATTGTTTGTTTATTTTTTAATTAAAATGAGACTAATATAACATATAATATTGCTGGTATTCCAAGTCCATCATTTCCAAAACAACAAGCACCAATAGGTTCTTCATATCCAAATGTTCAATTAACATTTTGTTATGGAGCTCCATATATAACTTCAACTTATCTTCCACCAACAGTTACAAATAGTTTTAATGATAATTGAAAAACTTATAATAATCAATCAACATTACAAACAAATACATTTGTTAATGATAATGAAAATAAATCTTAATCTTCGTCAGAGAATGTCCTCGACTGATTCAAGCCGTTTTCAGTGATATTTTTTTCCATATTTTGAAGTAAGTATTCTAGGAGAAGTCCTGAGAGAATTTGAGCCAATAGACTTTCCTTTGAAAGTTATGGTCATTTTACTGATTTTTCGAGCTAGCATAAGGTATATACACAAAAATCAGTAAAATGACCATGGCTTTCGAAGGAAAGTCTATCGGCCCAAATCCTCTTCGGAATTCTCCTACAATACTGATTCTAACATATAGACAAAATATCACAGAAAATGGCACAGATCAGTTGTGAATCTTCCCTCGTTAGATGAACGATCATAATTCATTCATTAATTGAACGTACAGAACCAACAGTTAATGCTTAAGAATTAACAAAACATTTTTCATTACCTGAATCAGAAAAAAAAGAAATTCTAAATCTAATCATATTGATGAATATATTTCATGTTCATTTAGTGATTGTATTGAACAATATTATCGAATACTTTATCGTGTATGTCAATGTACAGAAGAATTAAAACAAGAATTATGATAAGTTAAACATGAACATAATCAAATGAGTGAAGATTTAATTAATGCTGAAAATGCTTTATAATGATGCTTAAAAAAAAGAAATAAAAAAAACTTATATTAATTATTAATGAACATAAAACGGTTTGTAAGAAAAATAAATTCATTTAAAAAAACATTTATTTCTTTTTAGAACACAGCAACACGAAAACGTTTTTTCAGAAGAATCCGTTTCGTTATATAGAAGAACAAAAACAAAAATATGCTGTACTTAAACAGCATGCACAAGAGAAATTAAATGAGTAACTATAAATTATTTCAAAAAAAAAATAAAATAAAAATCTTTTTTTTAGAGCTAACAGTGAAATTGAACGATTAAGACGAGTACATACATCGGATATTGGAAGAAGGTGTACAATCACTTGAACAAGAACTTAAAGTAGTTAAACAAGAGTTAGAATAAAAAGTTAAATAAATTCTTCTGAAAAACAAAACTAAAAAATATTTCATTTTTTTTATTTAAAAAAAACAAAAGAGAAAATACTGAATTGACAAATATTTGTGATGAACTATTAGCAACTAATAAGCGATAGTTTATCTGTCAGAATGATTAACAACATATACATATTTTCTTTTTTATATTCTATGAAATACGTCAGGAGATTATTTTTTTAATAATCTTTTTCTCTCATATTGCATTACTCTTATATTTATTTCTTCTGCTAACTCTTTCTTTTGGTGTGTTTATAGATAAGAATATAATGCATTCATTTTTATGTCGATTGAATACTCTATTTGTTTTTACATTAACTGTTCTTGCTGTAATTACAACTGGAGCATTTATATCAACTTATTTTGAATAATATTATAGAAAGATTCAAATCAGTGCAAATAAACCAATTGTGTAAGTTGAAGATATTTTTATTTTATTATGAAAATAGGCTTTTTTTTAAATATAAAACGGTATGGTTAGCTTTTTATATGAAAGATGTTTATCTTATCTGACAGTATCATTTAAAAATGTCTTGAAGACCATCGTGATGAAGAATATAAACATGTCACACCTAAATTTAAACCTTTTGATGGTACCAGTAATACTGTTGATATTGCCGGTGCTCAACAAAATCCATTTAAGTTATCTATGGTTTCACCTGGTAATACAACATTAAATCCTTCAGATGGAAATAATCTTGAGATACTTGCTGAAATATGCTTAAAAACTTCATCGTCATCAACAACGATTCGTCTTCGATTACCGGATATGTCAAAGCCAATATGTGTAAAAATTGATCTCAATCGAACATTAGATGATGTACGAAAATTCCTTACTGAAAATGTTCAATCACTTCGATCAAATGCATTCAAATTTATGGAACCACCATCAACAAAAATAAATCGTGAAGATGAAAGAAAAAAATAATAAGTGATACAAAATTATCAAATTCCACACTTGTCGTCCGACAAACTGCTTAATTTCCATACATATGTCTCCTAATATGTATAAACAATACAAACAAATATTAGTTTTTCATTTTGTTTTAATTAAGAGACTTTATTTTTTATCCTTTCATTTTTGTATTAATACAACACATAAAAAATAAAAGAGTAGGATAAAAACAGTACATATTCCAAATGCAATTTAATGGATTCATCATGATGAGTAATTTTGATCTCTCATTATTTAAGTTCTAGAATGCTTTTTTATCACAGTTGATTCATTATTAATATAAGAATTTAGAAATCTTCGACGAAAAAATAGCAAACATATTATTTTAGACTCATATTTTAGATTGATAAT